GGAAAGCAAGGAGAGCGGGGGGTGGCAGGGACAAGGTTTCATCCGATGGTATCATGGGGGAAGTCACTTCCTGAATGATGGAGCTGGCTGTCAGTTTCTGGAGTTTATCCCAAAGATCTCTGCCCAGATGTTTTAAGTTTGTACCCATTTCCGTATCTCCAGGAAAACTGACACAGCAGCCCCACTGGCTCCTGTTTTCACACTCACGCCCCGGATCATTTTGTGGTGACTCTAGCCAAGAGTATGGCCTGTGTCGTGTCTGTTACAGGCCGAGGTGGGAAGAAAAGGTCATCCTTGCATCTGGAGGGGCCAGTTCATGCCTTGAGGAGGAGAGAGGCACTCTGAGTCCTGCCATGGTCCTCAGGGACGGCCAGGCTTGCCGTTGTCCCCTATGTCTGTTGGGGCGCCTTCTCCTGGGGATGTGATGTCTGCGTTAATTTTGGGGTGTCCAAGTGTACCAGGCTAGTATGCCATTGAGAGTCACCCACCATGGGCGGATTCACCCATTCCCATCATGGTGCCTGGGGCTCCAGCAGCCTCATCACAACACAGCCTGGTAGTTGGAGGGCCTGAGCCTTTGCCATGACTGCCCCTGCTTAGCCGCAGGACTGCGCACCTGTCGGGGACTGGGGTGGGCAGGCCATTCTCTCACAGGCCCACCCCAAGGCTCCAGATGGGCATGTGCATTGTTCAAACACCGTCACACCTTGGGGGTGTGAGGGGGCAGCGTGAGGCAGATGAGAGAGGCGGAGGTCTCACAGTGAACCACAGGACCTGCTATCCTGCAGCTGGGATGCAGGCCTGTCTGACCGTGGAGCCCCCATTCTGGGGGCCTCACACTCCCTACGACTGTGATGCTCGTCCCCCACCCTGCCCTGATGCCACAGGAGTGCATGGCAGGCCTGGAGTCGCCTTCGGAGGGGGGTGAGAAGGCCAGCGGGGGGCAGGGGGTGCTACCTGGGTAGAGGGTCCCTGGGTGAGGACCGCCTGGGCTGAAAAGCTGTCTGAGCGGCCACCCAGGGAAAGGTGAGCTGCTTGGACGTCATTCTCAAGCTGTAGGCCAGAGGTTGCCTGACTTTGGTGAGAATCGCTGGGAATCTGGTGGCTGAGCACATTCCTGGGCCCAGGCGCTGGGATCGGATCGGTCTGGGGTGGAGCTGCCATGGACTGGCTCCTGCAGAGAGCAAGAGAGAATGGGCCCAGTGTCCACTCCGCTCTGTGGGAGGCCCTGGTGCCGTCCGGAGGCCAGATTGGTGTCCACTCACCTACCTGTCTGCTACTCCGAGCGCGGCTTCTGTGGAGCGGGGAGCTGTGGTTTCCCCTCGTGGTTGAAGGCAGCCAGCGGAAGGCAGGCTTGTCAGCTCTGGGGGGCAGGACCTGAGGGCATTGGGGGAGTAGAAAACCCCAAAGCAGCCCAAGATGCTCAGAACACTTGGAGGATGTGGAGGACAGAGGCGTACCAGGACCCCTGCCCCTTCCAGAATATTCTAAGCAACCGGAGAGGGCAGGTGCCTCTGGGAGGGGAGCTGTAGCGAGGGCCCTGATTGGAACCATGGCTCTCTTCCTTGGCAAGTATCCTGCCAAGGGCACCCGACGTCCTGTCTGGCAGGGCTGGAGAGACTCTGGGCGGCCTGGAGTTCAGGCCGGGCATCACAGGCAGAGGCAGGCGTCGCAGCAGGCTGTGTAACAGGTGAACCATCTTGGGCTCAACTAACACTCAGTTACCGTCCCTGCCAGCGCCTGCACGCGTCCACAGTCCTGCCCTCTGCCTCAAGTTAGTGAGTGGGGAGGGTCTCAGAGGGGAGAGCAAGGACAGCTGGGGCAGCAGGGACGAGGTTGCATCTGATGGTGTCAGAGTGGGGATCAATTCCTGAATGATGGAGCTGGCTGCAATTTTCTGGACTTATCCCAAAGATCTCTGCCCAGATGTGTTAAGTTTTTACCCGTTTGTGTGTCTCCAGGAAAACTGACGTTGCTTCATTGGGATACCTGTGCCAGTGGGGCTGGCACAGGGTGCACTGAGGTCATTGAATGGGCTGGGGGCACTTCCAGAGCAGGGGAGACTTGTCCAGGTTTTACTAATTGTTGTTGGTTGACAAGGGGTGTGAGCCAATGGCTCTTGGCACAGAAATAGACTGTGAAGCTCGGGGCCTCCAGGCGGCTTCCGAGGCACACAGAGGGACATTCACCTGCCCTGACCTCACTCCACCTAATCGGACATCCCCATGGCCGTTCCTGGTGGTCTTTGGTGTCTGAGGCCGGCTCCTCCGCGTGAGCTGGGAAAGTTATTCAACCTCTCCAAGCTTTGGTTTCTTTTCATGGACTCAGGCCTTCTCTTGCTTATAGACCTAGGACTGGAATCTCTGGGTCATAGGCTAAGTCTGTGTTTCCCTTTTTAAGAAACTGCCAGACTGTTTTCCAAAGTGGCTGCACCATTTTCCATTCCCACCAGCAGTGTGCACAGGGCTGCAGTTCCTCCCCCTCCTTCCTCACCCACAGTTGCTGTTGTCTGCCTTTTTGACGATCGCCGTCGGAGTGGACGTGAGGTGGCAGGACACTGCAGAGTCAGCGTGCGTTTCCCTAAAGACCGCTGCTGTTGAACATCTTTTATGTGCTGTATTCGCCATACATCTGTGTTCTTTGGTGAAATATCTATTTAAATCCGTTGCTGATTTTTATTTTTATTTATTTTTGAGACAGAGTCTCACTCTGTCGTCCAGGCTGGAGTGCAATGGTGCGATCTCAGCTCGTTGCCAACCTCTGCATCCCGATCCAATCAATCCTCCTGCCTAAGTTCCGAGAGCCTGGGCAACTCGGCTAATTTTGTATTTTTAGTAAAAAGACGGGTTTCACCATGTTGGTTAGGCTGGTTTCAAACTCCTGACCTCAAGTGATCCGCCTCCCTCAGCCTCCAGTGTCTGGGATTACAGTGTGAGCTGCCCACACCTGGCCTTTGCTGATTTCAAATGGATTATGCCCATTCCTTACTGGTAGTAAATGTTATATGTCTGAATTCAAGTCCTCTGTTGGATACTATCTGCAAAATAGTCCTTCCAGTCCGTACTCTTGATTTTCACTTCACTCTTGGGTAATCTTCTGAAAGCAACCAAAGTATTATTTTATTTATTATTATTTTTTTATTTTTGATATGTTCAGCTTATTTTCTTCTTTTATGGTTTGGCCTTTTGGTTGTACCAAAAATCTTATTGCCTAACTCCCAAGTCATGAAAAATATACACTACGGTTTTCTCTAAGAGTTTATAGTTGGTTAGATGCCTACAGAGAAGGCTAATAATCCATTGTGGAGTTACTTTGTTGTATATAGGTGCAGATAAGGCCTTTGAATTCCCCATTTTGCCTGATGATAATCCAACTATGCAGCATCATTTGTGAAAACAAAACCCAATTCTTTTCTCCACATAAATTGCCGGGCACCTGTGTTCAAAATCTCAAATCCATTGTGCATTTAACTTCAGCTTCTCTCCTCTCTCTTCCTTACAATCATGGGTGGTGGCAAGACCTCCTCAATATCATATATAATCCACCATTCTAATTGTGAACGATTTACCCAAGAGGCAAAGGACCTCCCAACTAAATACTTAATCAAAAGCCTTGCCCTGCAATGGTGACCTCAACCTGAGGGTTGTCCAAAGTGTGTGGGGTTCGCCGAGCAGACAGAGGCCCTGTCTCTGCCCCACTAACCACTGTGTGGATCGGGTTAAGCATTACATCTCTGCCTGCCCGTCAGTTCCCTGTCTGTAAAAAACCCGGGGGGGGCGGTAGAAACGTCATATCCAAAGGGATTACCTGTAAAAAAGAGAACAGAATACATGGCAAGTCCAAGGGACCTGCACGGTTAATTTACTTGTAAATACAGATGCAGTATTCTAACTCCCTGCAACCGACTTGACTCCAAAGCTTAGCCTTTCACAAGACCTAAGAATGAAAGAAGGGAAGGGGTCAGTGGAGGGACCTTCCATACGGACTGAGTGACGTCCTCTAGCCGTCCTGCCAGCTCCACAGAACCTGGCTGTTTCTATGGCAATCACCTGCCTGGGGCAAACCAGACCAATCCCATACCTTTATGTAAATGGTCTCCTTCTCCCTAGAAGGCCTGACAAAGCCAATGGGGGGTCCCTTCCTAGAATGCCCCAAAGAGAACTGAAGAGTCCTTTCTGATCATTATAAAAGGGAAAGAGCTGATCATAGAAACAGAGCTAACACCAGCTTCTCCTCCTCTCTGTTTGGTTTCTACTGGATTCAAGTATCAGACATGCATGCACACATACATACCTGCATGCCCCACACGGACACATACACATACACACACTGACACGCACACATACACATACCTGCACACCCCCCTGTACACACAGTTGTGCAGACATGATCACAGAAACATAAACAGATATGCACATGCACACACCCCTGCACACACACCCTTGCACACACACCCCTACATACACATGCACACACATCCCTGCACACCCCTGCACACACACACTTCTACACACACATCCTTGCACACACACCCCTGCACACACATGCATGGAGACACACCCCTGCACATCCCTGCACACACACCCCTGCACACACACCCCTGCACACACACACTTCTACACACACATGCACACGCACATACACCCCTGCACACACATGCACACACACCCCTGTACATACATGCACACACATCCTTGCACACACCCCTGCACACACATCCCTGCACACACTCCTGCACACACGCATTCCTCCACACACCCCTGCTCACACACCCTTACACACACACACTTCCACACACACACGCACACACACCCCTGCGCACATATGCACACACATCCTTGCACACACACCTGCACATCCCTGAACACACACCCCTGTGCACACATCCCTGCACACACACCCCTGCACACACATTGCATGCACACACACCCACACATACCCCTGCACATGCATGCACACACGCTCACACACACCCCTGCACATGCATGCACACACACGCAGCCCTGCACACACACATGCTTGGCAGGCTCCTCCCTCCTCTGTCTCTTCCTCCTTTCCTTTATGAGCAGTTCTCCCTCCAGAGGCCCAGACTTCCTCTTTCACATCCACCTGTTCTTCTGAATATTTGTTTCCAAGGGCTGCCCTTTGCACCCCTTCACCCTTACCTGAATCCTAACACTTGCCCCTTAGGGTGGGATTCTCCGTCTTGGCACTGCTGACCTCTCTGGCTGGGTTATTCGCTGTCTCGGGCAGCCCTCCTGTGCAGTGTGGGGTGTTTAGCAGCCTCCCTCGCCTCCACTCAACTGCAGGCCAGGAGCACCTCCTCCCTGCATTTGTGACAATAGAAAATGTCTCCAGACATTGCCGATGTCCCCTGGGAAACAAAACCATACTCTGTTCAAAACAGCTGCCCTGCAGGCTCTTGTCAAAAGTGTGCAGGACAGAAATTGGGAGGCTGAGAGTGGGCCCTGGCGGGCACGGGTCAGGAGAACTTGGAGGGGCACATTTTGCAGCCTGTTCCCACAGTGAGAATCCCGTGTGCTTGTCTCCAGGGCTTTGCTCACTCTCCTGGGAGCTCTGGAAAGCTGCACTTGTGCTCCCTTCCTCGTAGGTTTGCTGTGCAACAGTCGTGGCTTCTGTGGCTCCTCAGGCCCGGGGGCGCCCCTTGAACCCTCCACTCTTGCTCCAAGCCGGGTTCGCAGACAGGAACAGAAACATGGACGGAGCCACGTGGCTGAGCCTCTGTCCTGATAACAAAGCCCCGCTTTGGAGGAAAAAGCACAAATCGCTACAAGCCCGGGGCACAGGCAACCTCGCTCTGCAGAGAAGAGCGGATGCCAAGCTGTGGAAAAGCTACCAGCTCCAGCGCTTGGCTGAGGAGTTGGGGAGAGGGTGTCGGGAGGCGCGGTACCTGCACGTCGGAGGCCTGGACCGACTGCAGTCAGCGCGTCTGTTAGGCTGGGGAGGAGGACGGGCCAGGGAAAATGAGCCCGCCTCAGAGGGGCCCGTCCAGCGGAGATCAGCCAGGCCCCCAAGGGCCAAGGAGAAGCACAGAGCGGCCCCTAGTGAAGAGAGGAGTTGCAGGGAAGAGTTGGGCCAGCAACACCCCAGGCACTCCAGGCCCCGGAAGACAGCAGCGAGCCCAGAGAAATCACAGACTACAAAAGCCATGGGTCAGATGAATTCTCACCTGGCCCTGCCTGAGAAGAGAAAGGGAAGGCGAGAACCTTCGACCAAGTCCGGGGGTGGCCGCGGTGCCATCCACCCTCGGAGGAGCAGGGGGCCGGACCTAGAAAGGCCAGACCCACTCGTGGCTGCTGTGGGAGAAATCAGGCGTGTGGAGGGAAAAGAGAAAGGAACAGCTCGGGCGGGGAGGAGGTCACTGGGACAGGGGGCAGTTGGCTTTGTTCCAGCCCTGACCAGTCGCTCTCGGGGACAGAGTCCAGAGGGGAAGCTGAGAGACCTCGGGCAGCTGTGGCCAGCTGGTGCCAGCCACAGAAGGGAAGCCGTGTCCCCAGCATCTCAGTGCACGCTCCGGGAGAAGAACAAGTGGCAGAAAGAGCTGGAGTTGGCCTTTGAAGAGTTGTTTAATATAAACAGAAAGCTGAAAAAACACCTGCGCTTGTACCTGGCACTGAAGCCCAGGATGGACCAGAGCCCCGGGGAAGAGCATGCCTTCTCAGAGATGCAAGAATGCGGCGCTGGGACCCCAAGAGGGAAGAAAACGGCAGAGGCAGAGATGCTGCCCGCCGGGGAACCCAGGAGCCTAGCAGAGGAGGTGGAGCAGCAGGCAGCATCCAAGACCAACTTGAAAATGTTAATGGGCAAGGTCAAGCCCATGTTTAGAAATGGAAGTCAAACATTGTCTCCTGAGGCAGGTATATTTATCAGTGAAGGGGACTTATTATTGTATAGCACTGAATCTGGACAAGAGACCCCCAAACTGGGCACGCTGGCAGAGGGCTCCCTTCAGCTCCACCTTCAAGACCAGACAGACAGAGCAGGTTCAACGGCGTCCAGGCAAAGACAGAAAGCAGAGATGGAGCAGAGAAGACAAAAACAACTGGAATCGCTTGAACGAACGGAACACCCAGATATGAGCTTGGAAATCCACTACAAGGCTGAGTTAGAAAAAGAGAGGAGGGAGCAAAGAAGGGCTCGACTGGCGCATCTGAAGTCCTCCTCCACAAGAGCCCGGGAAAGGGAGACAGGATCTGAGCTCAGCACCACTTCCCCATCGGGCACCAGCCTCGCCAACGACGACTGGCACAGTCAGATGATCCGAGACCAGCAGCAGCAGATTTTAGAGCAAAACAAGTTGCACAAGCAGTTTCTTGAAGAAGCCAGGAAACGCTTGCAAGAGTTCCAGAACATATGCTAAACGCGAGAGGCCCACCCGGGGTAAATACATCATTGATAATGGTGATGCCAGATCTGATACCCGAGTCTCTAAGATCTGTGTTTGCGTCATTGCCTCAGAGACTATTAGGCCTCTTTAAAATGGGCAGTCTGGGGCCAGTGCAGTGGCTCACGCCTGTAATTCCAGCAGTTTGGGAGGCTGAAGTGGGCAGATCACCTGAGGTCAGGAGTTCGAGACCAGTCTGGCCGACATGGCGAAACCCCGTCTCTACTAAAAATACAAAAATTAGCCGAGCATGGTGGCATGTGCCTATAATCTAAACTACTCAGGAGGCTGAGGCAGGAGAATCACTC